ACATACCCTTAACCAACTGTTGATCTTTGACACTATAGCAACAAGTGAACATTTGTTCTGAAGGAATGCAAAATATGTGATGGGGAGGGGATATGGTCATAATTTTAAATCAGTTGGATAGACTTCACAAAGAAATACAGATTATTATCTAAATTAAATATACACTGCATTTACTTTAAAGGATTTTGTTTTCATATACATTTACTGACCCACTGCAATACTGCACATTAATTTTTTTTACAATTTTGTGATAAGATTGTGTTATAGTTGTTTAAATATCTGAACGTGGATTATACGAAGTGATTTTTTAATCTAATTGTCAATAATTTAATAGCATAGATAATCCCCCACACAGAAATCAAAAAGAATTGCTGGGGTTAGGCGACAAATATTATCTTGGGTAGCCAGCAATATTTTATTATCACATTTCAAAATTTCAAACTATAGTACCAGAATCCCACTACAAGATATAGACTGATGTCATTTTGAAATAGGTCCTCCTTTGCCGTTTATTCTCTCTAATCAGAATTACATACACAGAAAAGTTGATATACTGAGATTGTTTTAGTCTTAGATTTTCTGACAATTAAGATCAAGTGTAGAAAACATCCTGGATTCACATGTAGATTATTGCAAAGAGGTAAGTCACTTGGCAGCCAATAAATTCCCTGCTTCACCTGACTTTAAATTTGGTATGCTGTAAAGCAATATTTGAGGGATTATCATGTGCAAAGATTGTCTGCATATGCTGTGTATGTATGTGCTTTTTGTTATTTTAATGCGTTTTGGGAAAATGCACCTTTCTGTATCTTGGCATAAAAGACTATTTTGGCATTGATATTTTTCTCAGCACTCCATGCATATTTTTAAAATTGGGTGCCATGTATGAGTACCTGTGATCTTAAATACTGCTCATTTCACAATAATGTATTTGATAGTTCCCAGAGGTTGGAAAACGTTTTATTTACTTAGAATACAGGTGGGCAAACCACAGGCTATAAAGTAGAATTCAAGATGCCATCTCAGCAACTGCCACTAAATGTTGCATTTACTGTATGTCTACCATTCAGCAGATTGAGAACCCCACTAGTTTCCTGAAGAAGGTAGCACATAGTGATAATTTCTCCAACAGATGTCAGATTTCTGTATTTTAGCCTTCAGTCTAAAAGAAATCACTTATTTTTTATTAAATTTATGTGCCGCCATCTCATGCTTTGAGGCAATCTGAATGGCTTAGACAGTATAAGATTTTTAACTTGCTTCATATATTAAAACTTGTTGGATGCCCGTGCTTCGCTACAAAACTGTGATCAGGCGTGATAAATTGACACTTAAAGCCTGAAACTTTAGGCATCAGAGCGTGTTAATATAAGTTCAGTTGGAACAGAAGAGGAAGGGGAGTAGAATGTCCCAGGCCGCAGGCCGGATGAGTCACGCACTGACCACGCCCACACCCAGTTTATGGAAGGGATAGCATCAGAGTGTGTTAATATAAGGCAACTGGCAGTTGGAAGAGTTCTTTTCAGGTGGGGAGGGGGAGTAGAACGTCTAACTCCTTAGCATTAGAGCATGTGAATATAATACTGTATTTGAAATACTAATGATCTGATGGTCATTTCGAAAAATCCTTTCTTAGCGAGCACCTAGAATCCAAGAGGAACATACGTGCCAAATTTCAAGTTTGTAGGCTTTACCATTCTGGAGATTTCATGATGAGTGAGTGGTATTTGGCTTTTATATATATATAAATTAAAAGCAAACTAATATTTTATTTAGTTTCATTAAAATTATTTTTTAATTTCAAATTGAATAGTTAAAGACATTGTAACATTGTTTTTCCACCTATATCAAATGTGATCAATTCAATCAAGATCCCTAAGAGGTCATATCTGGCGCACCACTGATAAGCACCAGCCAAAGAATCCACCTGGACAAAAGAAAGCAATGTTGAATTCTTAGTTTACTTATGAATTTTTCTAATTGGTCTCAGATAAAGTCATATATTCCATGTTAAATATACCTTATAAAACCATCAAAATGCAGAAGTGATTTGAGTTCCCTGAGAAAAAAACTGGAAACACAAATTCCAAATTACTTTTTCAAGCCTGAAAAAATACCACTATTCATGAACACACCAAAAACACTCAGACAAATTGATCATTCTTTTATTTGCTTTATAAAGCAATTGTTTCCATTATATAGTAAATTCTAATTTCAATACATATCATGTTGGTTATATTTGTTTAGTGATTAAAAAAGCACTCAGTGCTCCATTAAATGTCTTCACACTTTTAAAGTATAGGCAGCCATCATCAAACAAAACAATGTTACCAAAATCATATACATAAGAATGTTAGTATCATCATATATATTTGAATGTACGCACAAAATAGGCAAATCTACCAAAGTAGTTTTTCCTACACTTCCATTAATAGTGGATTTTACAATGCAATTCTGAGTTCAAAATGCATAGCTTTAGGGAATTTTTTTGCATTTTAATTTTTTTAAATGGCACTGTAGAATAAGGTTAAAAAATTATATCCAACCACAAACTAAATTTACAAATTAGGAAGAGACTGTTACTACAAGTCTAGTAAATTTGTAATGGTGACAACAATGGTTGCTGTAGCTTAAAGTATTCAGAGGGATCCAATTGGAGAAATTATATTAAATAACAAAACAATTTGTTGGCATTTTTATCTTTGCACACTCCCATTTTCTTATTCACTATAAGAGCAATAGCACTTAGACTTATATACCACTTTACAGTGCTTTACAGCCCTCTCTAAACAGTTTACAGTTAGCATATTGCCCCTAACAATTTGGGTCCTCATTTTAACCACATCGGAAGGATGGAAGGCTGAGTCAACTTTGAGCCTAGTGAGATTTGAACTGCCAAATTTCAGTCAGCCAGCAGTAAGCAGAAATAGTCTGCAGTACTGCATTCTAACCACTGCGCCACCGTGGCTCATAATATGCTCAGAAATGTGTGCTTCTATTTTTGCTTAATCATAACTTCTCATAGTATCCATCTCATCAAATTATGCTTAATATTTATTGTAGTTTATCAGAAATAAGCCTATCAAAAAAATCAAGATTTCAAACAAGCATTTTTGTTATATTTAATGGTATTCAAACTAAATAATTTAAATTAATTTTTGCAGCTACATAGTATGAAGGAGAAATTGCTAATTGCAACTCAAATCCCTCTTAATATATCAGTATTAGCACAAAACCGCCTTCACGTTATTTCATGTATCATTATATTGTTGACTTTTTGCCATTAGTAGACCCAGAAGATAATCCCTTTGATACTAATGTATCTTTTAGGGGGATTTTTATTGATCTGAATATATAGGATCATAATCAAAACCATTCAAAATCCAAACATTCATGGAATGTAATACACAGAAATCTTGCATAATATTTATGCAATATTCAGATTTGCCCAAAGGCTCTAATTTTCTCTAGGGAAAATTCATATTTGATTATGATTCTCACCTCAGCATGAAGACTTTTTCTCTGAAATAGAACATCTTCCCAAATTGTAAGGTGCCTATTGCTAACAAGCTCCCCAGAAAGTAATATAGTCTCTGAAAGCATAGTTAAAACTTATTAGAACTTTTGGTAGCAGTTCTTCTGTATTCAGTGAAACAATTCATTATTTCACTAATATACAATCTCTACAATATTTTTACGGATAGTACCATCAAGTTGCTTAAGGTGTACAAATTAAAATTTTAATTTAAAAATACAGTCATCCATGTTCATCTAATCTAGAGAAACAGGCAAGAACTACAGTATGGAATTAATATCAAATGCTGTGATATGAATCACATGTCATTTGAAGTCATAATGTGGATTTTATTTGCTTTGTTATTTGAACTCATCCACTGAGGTTTAAAAGCTATTGGTTGTAACTTAATGTGCAAATGTATTTTGAGATTGTATTTGTTTGTCTATTGACAATTGTATCAATAAAGTAAATTTAATTGTTAACAGCTCAAAAGAAACCTTAAGTCGCTGATAGTTCTTTCAAAACTACAGAAGATCTATTATAATTTTATCTGACCTTTTTATACAGGCTGCAAACATACCTAATTGCCTCTATTTTTCCCACAACAACCCTGTTAGGTCATGCTGCACAAAGTGGTTATATTCTTAGGAAATACATACACTGCTCACTTTAAGATATTCATTAATTACTTTGCAAAGAATATGCGGTATTTCAATCTGAAAGCCTCACTGAGAGAGACAGAGATTTATTCCTCAATTGCCTATTTTTATCTTTTCATATAAAGAGTGCATTTAACTAACCACCTTTCTTGACTCATTTGACAGGAAAACTACTGTTTTCTCAGAACCCACAGATACATTAACACATAAGTTATTACACTTACATAAGAAGAATAAGTAGAATAGAAATAACTGGCGATAAATATTTTATAATGTTCAAAATTAAAAAAGAAATCTTCCTAACAATACAATCTGTAAGTGCTATTAAACTACAGTTTAGCATTATGCCCAAACTGTGCGAAATCCTTCCTTTCTGAGTAGCAAAATAATAAGCTACTTCCCTCTAAGGAGAAAACACAGTCAAAAGGCATTTGCTGTTTCCATATGCTGGCAGTAAGTGGCAAAAATGTCTTATCAATTTTTGATTTGAAAAGGTAGTTCATTTTAATAAAAAAAAAGTTCAAGTAAAATGTCAAGGCTGTGACAATAAGGGAAAGCCATTCATACTTGAAAGTATTACTAAGCTAAAGAAGCAATGAGAAATCCATTTAAATCAAAACCTTCATTGCTGACTTTCAGTTCCTATGCAATGTTTCACACAGGAAGTTAGCAAAGTAAAAGCCACAATTTCCTGTAAATTACAAACATACCCAAGAGCAGTTTACCACTGTTCCACCTTAACATTCCTAGAGTCATATTTTACTAAACACTTTGCTACAAGTACACATATAAAATGAGAAGTTACCAAGAAGTATCTGACATACCTGAAGTAATGGCTTCTCTCAAATTCAGTAGAATATCTGCAAATTTTCTGACATCGTTCACCAGCTGCATGATATAGTCTGGATCCACAATCATGCTGTCATAGCCGTCAAAGTTTGAGCTAATGCTGCTCAGAGAACTACTTTTGATATTGCGCCCCATCCCCCAGTTTCCTGTATTAGAGATGGGGAAGAAATTGGAGGTAGACAGTTTAGTTAATCCTAAACCACGCTTGTTGCTGTCACCGTTCTGTCGCAACATCCCAGCTACTGCAGAGCTTTTGAAATTTCCAGAGCTAACATTCAGTGGTACTTAGGGTCCATCTGCCAAGCAACAGAGATCTGAAAAAACAAAAACAAAAACAAACTTAAGCCAGCTATAAAAAATGATTTTGAACATTATTCAAGAGCTGCATTATTGATAAACTTTTTCCAATATTGGAAAATATTTTTCAGTTCAAGACGAATGGTGCCATTTAAAATTTTGACAAAATTGTTGGTATCTAACTTACACTCTTATAAAGTCATTTTAAACTTGTTTCCACATCTAAGCGTAAATATTTCTAAAATTAGAAATATTAAAAAGCATATCTCAAAGTTTACGAAATTCTCATTCAAGTGGTAACTTGAAGCACCTGCAAAAGCCCAACATTGTAGATTTCATGAAAGAAAAAAATATAAATATTTAAACCATGATTTCTCCCATTTCCAATGTGATTTAATTCAATTCACTCCTATGAACACCTTCAAGCTTATAAATAGAATTTAAGACACATTATAATAATATATATATATTGTTTTTACTATATAGCTATTTACAAATCTTATTTTAAGCCATTCAGTTTAGGTTATAAAAAGTAAGTAACAAATTAAATGTAAGTATAATTATTCAATATGCCACTCTCTCAATTTTATGAAGAAGGTAGTATTTTAAATTAGAATTCAGTTAAAATATTTAGGGGATATATAATATAGAAAAAGGCTTAAATAGAAATTTCAAATACTTTCTAGCTAATACTCGAACATGTATATTTGCATTCTTTGAAAAAAGAAAAATTCTCTGAACCTTTTACACTTCTTTAATTTTAGGCATGCACATGATATCATATCCTAATATATAAAAAAAATGCCATGTCAACATCATATCCTGATGCACTGAACTTTATGGAAAGATGATGGTAGATAGGAGCTCTCTTTAAACTATATTGTGCAAAAACTCTTTAATTTCCTATGTGTGTTTTCAAAGCCAGAATAATATTCTGCAATCTTATCCTTCCACTTAACTATTTCCCTCTTTTAAAACATAATGACTACTAGCGAGACAAGCAAAACTTGCTCAACACAGACAGCTCTTGTGGCTTTGTATCCTAAATATGCAGGTCCTATTTAGAATCAGGCTCATTTTAAAATATGTAAAATGCTTCCTCTCATACTTGTTAATTGAAACTTGCTCTCAACCCACATTATAAAAGACAACTTTTTAAGATACACAAACACGCTTTAGAATCTCCTGTCCAGCTCATGCCTACCTTACACAATATTAGATAACTTTTTTCTACAATTATCCAAGCAAGGACAGCAACTATCATAAAATACTCTCTCTATATATAAAAATTATATATATACATATCTATCTATCTATCTATCTATATCTATATATCTCTATATCATCTATATCTATATCTATATCTATATATATGTATGTATAAATCCTTTCCTTAGCTTGTTAAGGCCCTAAGGCACTGATCTGTATATTTTGGGAGGGAGGGAGGGGGGAAATCCCTCTTATATTTCATCATCCAGAAACAGAACTACCGCCCCTAAGGGGGAGGGGGGGGAAGCCTCCATTCCTTCCAAAGTAATAAGGTCTTATCAGTTTATAGGACCCATTTATCTTGTACGTTCCCTTAGAATTAGCGTTCCTCCCGACGGGGCTCTTGGCCATACCCACAAGCTCACTTCCCAGTTCTCGCAACCACCGTAACTTTTGAGAAAAGCAGAAGTGGAGGCAGATTTCAGAAGGCAGCAAGGTTTCTCAAGACCAACGAACCTACCCGGTAGGGTTTACAAGGGAGGGGAGAATCGGACAGCTGGGTTTTTTTAATCAAACGAAAGGCAAGAGAGAGGCAAGGCAAGGCACCCGGCCGAAGAGTTATAGTTGTTGACAAATACACACGCAGGGAGCGAGGAGTAAACCCTCCCGGGTTTCAGCGAGGGAAGGAGGCGCCTGGCTACACAACCGCCCCTTCAAAGAAATAGCTGGCATTCCTCACGGGGCGGACGGGCGCGCACACACACACACACACACACTCGCCCTCCGAAATTCATTTCACCCCCACCCCACCCCCTTTTTTTCCTTGGCTTTTTTTTTTTCCTTTCCCCAGGCGCCGCAGGCCGTCTAGGGCTCTCCTTACCCAGCCCGTGCAAGTGCAGTCAGCTGCCAAATCGCACGTTTCCTCTCCTCCCACTGAGGTTCAAGCTCCGGATTTAAATACAACCGAAAGGGGACGCTGGGGCTACGAACAAGACAGGGGAGGGGAGAGGGGAAAGGGAGGGAGGGAAGGAAGGAAGGAAGGGAGGGAGGGAGGGAGGGAGGGAGGGAGGTCGAGGGGAAGAGTAAGAAACTTATCAGGTAAACTCAACAGGCAAGGGCGGAAAAAACAGGGAACTGGGAATACGCCCCCTTTCCTTTAACACAGGGGGAAAAAGGGGAAAGTGGTTTTAAAAACAAGTCCCGAAAGCCAGCGACGGACGGTTCTTCAAAACCGGCTGCCGAGCTGAGAAGCGACGGACGCCCTTACTCGCGAGGCCAGAAGGTAGCCCAGCCGCTGCTCCTCGTCAGGCTTTCTCTCCGTCTGCGCTGCCGTTACTGCGCGCGGTTGAAGAGAACTGAGGGGAGGGGAGGGGAGGGGAGAGGGGGCGCGCGCGCGGTTGACAGCAAGACGTTCGCGAACTCGGACGACTCAACCCCAACCTCTCTCCCCCCCCCCCCCACACACGCCCCCACTCGTTTCTGCTTACCCGATAGACCGGCTGAGGCGTGGCGGGGTGAACGAGGCTATAGCCGGCTCGGAAGGAGCGGACTCGTCGCCTTCGGAACTGCGGGCAAAGCAAGCAGCGTCAGGAGCCGCTGCATCCCCTCCGTCCATTGAACTCAGCCTTTCCTCAACCCTCCCTTCACACGACGCCCTTGCCGGACTGGCTAACGCCGCCACCACCCACCCTCCCCAATCTCGCTCTCTCTCTCTCTAGTCCCGCCCTGCACGCTGAACCCTCCCCGCTCCTCTCAAAGCGACGTCTCCCATTGGGTACTTTCCACCCCCGGGGCGTGGCTTTCTGCAAAAGAGGCAGCAGGTACGGAGGGGGGGGGGGCGGGGACGTCAGACGCTGTTCTGGCCGAAAGAGGAGCGCTTGGTGGAACTCAGAGCGGCGGCGGCGGCGCCGTTTCCGTTCCTTGGTTTGCACGGTTGTCAGGAACCTTGTCAGTACGCGGCCCGATAAAAGAGGCTGCCGCGTTATAAGTAACGAAAACACAGCGGGTCGGGGTGTAATGCAAACTCCTGGGCGGCGAGAGCACGTTTCGGTGCTGCGGCTGATGCAAAACCACCCTGCTCATTTTGTGGTGCATGAACTTTAAAAAAAAACAAAAAACGTTAATGTTAACTTTTGCTTACGAGCTTCAAATTTCCTCTCTTCCTCTCCCCCCCTCCACACTTCCCCACGTTTGGAAATTAAAATATCGTGGTATAGCTATTTATTTAGTATTTGGAGAATGTCGAACACATCTTCCCTGCAGGCCAGCTAGCTCGTTCAATCTCCCCAAGGCTCCCCAAAATCCAGAAATATTCTGTCATCCATGGTCAACTAAGCAGAAGAGCCCGAGCATCTTTCTAGAACTCTAATCCTGCGTTTTAGTGCGTGGCTGATTTCTTTGTGGCGGATCAGAAATTTGGAATTAATAAGGCATTCAAGCTCCACGTGTTCATCCTTCTTCTCCCCTAACTAGAGAACAAACGTCCCTTAATAACATTTTGTCTTCCATGGCCTCATGACATTGGCTTTGACTAATCCCCTGCCGGGTATCTGAAGCAGCTTAAAGTCATCCTGAGTCGTTTTTCTTTCTTTCCCTGTCACAATGTCGCCCTTGGGTGCAATCTGACATGCTTCACTGACCATGTGGTTGCTGACTTGGTCAGAGATTGGGATCTGCCCCAGTTCCTATTTATTACTTTGAACTTTTCTGAACATGCTGCTTCTCCTTAATTGGTCCATGGCTATTTTGCACCAAAGATGGGACATCCATCTGGCTTTCCATAAGGCTGTTTTCCAAGGGGTCCTTGTAAACACAAATATAATGGTCTTCTGAAAGAATGCTACTTTTGATTTTTACGCACAGATTTAGCACTAAGATTTATCTATTTAATCTACTTAAAAATCAGGATTAGGACTCTCTTCAAAGAGTACAAATATGCTGTACAGAAGGTTGATTTAAACCAGGAAAGGGAGCTTGGTTCTGTCCGCAGTTTGAGTGCAATATTGCAGGCTAATTCTGCTGACTGCCAGCAGTTTGATTCTCATCAGCTCAAGCTTGACTCAGCCTTCCATCCTTCTGAGGTGGGTAAAATGAGGACCTAGATTGATGGGGGCAATATGCTGATTCTGTAAACTGCTTAGAAAGGGCTGTAAAGCACTGTGAAGCAGGATATAAGTCTAAGTGCTATTGCTATCACTACTGTCAAACATCATAGAGGCATCTACAACATCTGAAGCTTTTATTAAAATAAAATTCTGCTTCAGCCTGTGCCCTACCTTCAGAAGAATACTAAATTTGTGCTCAGAAGTAGCTGTGCTGACAGATCAGAGTAAAGAGCAGGGTTGTGGAAGCAGGATTTAACAAGGGTTGGAGTTCACAGATCTCAAGGGGGTACTGTTCTGCAAGATGGGCACAGCTACTGAGGTTTATTAAATCCCACAAGAAGAAGGGGCTTGAAGTCTGGGGCCCATTTAGCATTAGCTTAAGGTAGAAAAGGTCATTTTGAAAACTATGCTGACAGACAAAGGCGTATCATTCGTAGGACAGAATTAAGTGCAATCAAAATGGTGTTCTCTGGAAATCATGCTATCCAACTGGAGAAAGGACCTGAAATTGGGTGCTTCCAGATAGGTTGCAAATGTCTTCAACTGTTCCATTTTTTCCCCAGGCAACACTCAGGATATAGAAAGATCCTGTAGATCAGGAATGGGTAAAATGAGATATTGTTGAGCAGCGTATCTCAACTCTCTCACCATCAGCCATGCTGGCTAGGATTTTGGGGGATTTAGATTTGCAACATCTGGAGGGTCGCAGGGTCCCCACCTTTATACTCTTATTCCACCACAGTCTCTACAGCACAGCTACCAAAACAACAAAGACTATTTGAATACAGTAACATGCAAATTTTAATTATTTGGAAGGATAGGTGACCCTGGCTATAAAGATATTCCAAGAAATTATTTGAAAGTCAGCATTTTATTTTTCCATGGAAATTAAACCATCAGTGTATAAGGTAAGCTTCATAGTAAAAAAAAAGAAACACTAGGTTAGGGTATTGTCCATCAAGTAAGACCATTTGCTAATGCAAATATATAAATATACTTACATTTTTTAAAAAAAATCTACGTTATGTGAGGATTACATTTGGAATGTTTATATTCCTGTTGCCTCTCCTTTTGCCACATTCCTCGCAAGTATTATTATATTTTGATTACACGTTAGAGGCTGCAACCTGAGGATATATTCCTCTTGAACCTGGAGTTAGCCAGTGGTTTTGTTCATGTACCAGCCATTGCGGTAGGTAACATCTAATTATAGTGCATGAAAGTTTGCCCGGCCATCTGAGGAGGTCTCCTCTGGATTTGCCCTCCCCAAAGCTGAACAATGACCAGATTTTCTGCTAAATTGAAGCTTTCAACAATAATTGTATTTTTTTTTAAGTTACTGGTCTCATGAATCTGCTGCTTGTCAAGAACAATGCTTTATGTGGAGCACAGCAAGAAATATGAAAGGAATCTTCACTCTGCTTTTGCACAACAATTTGGTCTCACTCCCTAGAAGAATTTCTAATTTATTAGCAAAGAAGAGATGGGAAAAGCTACCCTTTACTCCAGTAAACATTTCCATTATTGTTGAGCTCTTTTGTAGCAGACTTTGCATAGTTCATTTTCTTTCTATGAAATTTGCTGTACAGTCGAATCTATTCTGCAAGCTTTAATTAAATGCATCTGATTTCTGCTTTGCTATATTTTATCGATAGTTAATTGGAGTTAGGTACAGATATGAATAATTGTTATTCATAACAATCCAGGGCTATATTTTAAAATATATTTCTGTTTTCCTCAATCAAGATTCTTCAGATTGGGGATCTCAACTCCCAAAGTGCCTAATCAGTAGAACCATGGTTAAGGAAGGCAGCAGTAATTCATCTGTAGGCCTGCTGTGTCTCAAGATGCCAGGAAAACCCTTCCACATTACAATAACTCAAATGCCCAAGTCTGGACAGAGGGCAAAGACATTCAGAGTATCAGCATGAATTGAATAAAAGGGGCCTGTGGTGAAAGGTCAAAGGCTGGAACAGGCTGACCACCTAAGCAGTGAATAGTGGGACTGTTTAACAATAATAAAAGGAGTGTTTGTATTTGGGAGGTTATTACATCACCATTGATGGCTTTGCTGGTCATGCATCAGTGGAGGTTGGGTAGGTAAAGATTGCTCCATAGTAGGTCTTGAAACAAGCCTGTCTGAAAATCTAGTCTTGGCTTTCTCCAAGAGCTAATAGCAATTTAGAAAAAAACAGAAAAAGCTGGCTACCAGGTCTTTCCTATAGCCAAAGAAAAACAAAATTAGATATGTTAAAGCGCATCTTTATTATAAATGCCAGTGAGTTAACACACAGGTAGTTTTGACTTATCAAGTTGCCAAGTGCCTGAATTTTGATCATGTGACCATGGGGATGCTGCAATAGGTGTGAAAAATGGTCATAAGTCACTTTTTGCAATTTCAAATGGTCACTAAATGAACAGTTGTAAGTCTAGGACTATCTGTACATTTATTTAATCCAATGTATATGCCCCCTCCCAATCTATCCAAGAAATTCTGAGGAAAATAAAAGCAAGGGATTCCATTAAATAAAAAGAAGCCACATATGACTGCATGGAAGCTGAGTAAAACTACTAATTACATGCACCCATAAAAGAGCCCCATACTAACATCTTGCCCCAAATGCCTAGTGTTATACATTTTGCTTCTAATTCAGTCACAAGACAAACAAACATAAATATGCACTGGAGACAAATTCCTTGTGTGTCCAATCACACTTGGTCAATAAAAAATTCCTTTCCTTTCCTTTCCTTTCCTTTCCTAGTCTAGTCTAGTCTAGTCTAGTCTAGTCTAGTCTAGTCTAGTCTAGTCTAGTCTAGTCTAGTCTACCCTACCCTACCCTACCCTACCCTACCCTACCCTACCCTATCCTCCTTGAAGCTAAAGCTAACCTGTGAGTTTAGCCACTGTAGCTAAGCCACTGTGGCTAGGAATAACCACACTGTGGCTGGCTCCATATATCACACTAAGACATAACCATACATACAGTTTCATGGGTTCACAATACTGTTGACTAAGAAAATTATGGCTGATTAAATTAACTATGACTATGTTCACTATGTCAACTCAGCAACTTTCTGATTTAATGCTCTCCTTCTGAGCAAAGGATGTCCAGAAGATAGGTTTCCTGGTTTTCTAATAAGGTTTTCTGATTTCTAATGTGGTATCAGGATCATTCATCAAACTCCTTAATGAACTTCAAAAATGAAAAAAGCTCAAGGCTATCTAGGGATACATTTCTATGTGGAAGGACTGTGGAAGGACTGTGACTTTAGTCCTGATGCTTAATGTGGAATGTGCTCAGGGGAATGCCAGAGCATCATATTGTCTTCATGTCAAACCTGTACAGATAGTTCTTGTTTACTGACCATTCATTCGGTCAGTAAAAATTGAAAAAATAACTTTACAGCCTATTTATGACTATTATGACCTTTTCAAGGTCTCTCAGTCACAGCATTGCCATTACATCAGTGCCCATTCTCTTATCAGCATCAGAAAAAGGCAAAGGAGATGTTGTCACCCACACAGAATAGAGAGATTTTGAAAGGAAGAAATTTCAAGGGAGTACAGA